ATAATTGGCATTGTGTTTATGCTTTGTTAAATTCTTAGTTGATAACTAAATCTTATTTAGCAATACATATTCAGAATTGTTTCATAATTATGTGACGTGCACTCTAGAAAAAAAAATTGAATTCACACAATTCAGTACAATTTAACACTGTTTACCAAAGTTTTTTGGTTTTAGTTTTTTGGACTCTAATGAATTATATTAGTAATTCACTTGCTTTCTTTTTTTCTTTGGTTAATGATTTTAACACGCTTTTAGTGTTTGCGCGCTATATACAATAGTGGAAATGATATTAGTATGTCCCTTCAGTAGTTACGTTAATAAAAAAAATTGAAATGCGAATGCAGCCTTACTACTGGTAAAGAAGACAGAAAACATTCTGACTTTGAACGGGATTCGAACCCACGACCTTTGCGATACCGGTGCAATGCTCTATCAACTGAGCTATCAAAGCCACATGGGAGCAGTCGTATCTGGATTAGACCCTTAATGTACAGCGGATGTAGACTTGACTCAAGAAGACTTTCTGGCTTCTTTTTCAGTAGTAAGGCTGCATTCGCATTTCAACTTATTAGAACGATTTCGCGTAAGCGACTTGAGTTTGAAAGTAAAATAGCATGTTATGGGAAATTAACTCGCGGATAAAGATTATTACAAGCCAGCTCGGCAGTTGCTCTGTGAGAACTGCACTTTTATCTTGGATTTACAGTAATAATCAGGCAGTGAACAACCGCTCAGAATTATAAAGGAGATAARTAATCCATTTCTCTATAATTCATTTGTTCATAATCTCATAACAAAAAAATAAACACTTGTGTGTAATAATATAAGTCTATGTATTAAAAAAAACCGCAGTGTGAGTGTGCTTTTATTTYTTCTCAAAGGTTTTCAAAAAGTCTAACACGCCTCTYTGCCAGAAAGGCCGCTAGTTCAATGCATAAACCACCTTGGGTGTCYCCAAATGTAGGATACGGCCGGGTATGTTTTCATATCCTTAATTGAAAACATGTTCCACTTTAATCCTTCTACTTGACAAACATCTWTTGAACTTGCGAGCGCGCCTTCTGTCTCTCCTATTCGAACCTCGCATTTGTATTGCTCTTACTGGTGTAAGCAGTGGATCAACACCAGGATAACCTTTATCAGCAAGAAATTTTGCACCAACGGGAAGGCTCAAGGGCTGTCCCGGTCCTATGGGTGTCATCAGACGGTACGAGGCTGCATCGTTGGTGCTTCCAAGAAAGCCAGCTTGAACGAAACGTAAATGTCCATTATTGTCTATAACAAGTTGCGTGTGGAAGCAGTGGTAATGACGATGTCCGCTGTAAAAGGCTCTCTGAGGTTCTGTGTAAGGCCGATATATCTCGTGCGGTGTACTGTCGATCGCCCCTACTGCAGCTGGAAATTCGGGCCAATTTCCCATAAGATTCGTCCATTCAGCATTATTAGGCCATGAAATTTGATTTTGGAAATGTTGCCACAGCTGAGGTATAATTCTATAAATGATTCTCGTGATGCTAGTAGGGTCAGTGTCAAATATTAGCGCAA